ATTAATTTAAATTTCTTTTTTAAAAATAATTTTACTTAGAAACAAATAGCAATGAGATAGTTTCAAAACTGATTGCTAGCACAGTTTTAATAATTAATACATTGCATATTGTTGTCTTAGTGGTTATTCATTGTACAAGATGCAGACATGATATCCTGTCCACAAACACTGTTAGAACAAATCTTTCTATTCATTGAATTAAAAGAAAGTAGCTGTATATCTATCCTAACTGTTTTGAATACACAGATACAAACTTGTCATTCATTTATATCCCCCTTTTTTGTTTAGTTTTGTCAGTATATATGTAATATATATATGATAGTTAAGAGAGTTATACTAGTAATTTCTTAGTTTATTAAAAAAGAAGGTTTGTGCTGATATTGTTTGTAAAATCAAGTGCCTCTATCTTGTACTCTGGGTCACTAACTTAAAAACAGCGATACTCAATGTATTAACCATTGTTACCCTCCTATTATTTTGTAATTTTTCTTTTTCTCTTTAAAACATTTCATTTTTTAAGCTGTAGGTTATGGTACAGTTTTAGTTTGTGGAAGTAGAATGGTGGGAAGACTTATACAAACTGGCAGAGACTACCAATAAGATCTCATTTTTTTAAAGTTTTTTTTTTATGTTATCCACTTTACAAAGAGGTTTTTGTGTGAGAAATCTTAGTAACATAATAATGTTGGTATCTCTGAAGTTGTTTTATAGAAAAAAATTAGGCAATTTGTGTGCACATGCAAGCGTGTGCGCTGGAGAGCCTTAAATTTTCTTTTCTTTTCTTTTTCTCTTTTATTGAGATGCTGGGATTTGAACCCAAGGCCTAGGGCATGCTAGGCAAGTTAAGAAGTTAAAAATCTGAGCCACTCCCCTTTAAAATATTTTGAATAACAGAGAAGAAATTTAGTTAATGTGTAAGTCAACAACTTCTTGACTTGAGGAGCTTAACTCCTGTCCTCCGGTATTGGCACTAGTGAGGTCAGTGAGCCCTGTAACAAGCTGCACTTCATGCGGTTTATGGTAGCCAGGGTCTTTAAGCCAAGGCGCTTGGTGCCAACGTGACTTATTAATGCCAAGGAGAGAACCAGATTGTTTTATAGTAAGGACCCTTAGGGCCGGCGAGATAGCTCAGTGGACTAAGTACCTGCTTAGGCAAGCGCAGGGACTGCGGTTTGACCCGGGCACCACATGCTGCACCAGCCCTGCCCCCAGGCATGCTGAGCCGGCCACTGAGACCAGGCACGGTGGCGCATGCCTGTATTTCCAGCACTGGAGAGGTTAAAAACAGGAGGATCACTATGAGTCCGAACTGCGTAGTGAGACTCTGTACCAAATACATTAAAAAATAAAATTTTTTAAAAAGTAAGGACCCCTGAAATAGACTGATTTCCCTGTAAGGTCTGGAGTTTGTTATTTTGATAATCATGGTGTTGTAATCCACTATTTCACTGATATTTCATGACTCCAACTGTGTGAAGTAGCTGTAATATTTAATGTGTCTCCCCTGAGCTACTTGAATACTTTGAAGAAAAACAAAAGGGGTAACATCAGAGTCTCCCTAAGAAAGCCCAGGAGGTCTATGTAGATATTTCTAGAGTTCAATGTGCTGCACTTTCTTGAGGGGTTCCTCTGGTTCTCCTGTGTAAATGTTAGTTTAATTTTCATACTGGAAATGAATATTTGTCTGTCTGTCAGACCATCAGTTCACTTATTTACCTGTCCATCTGTATCTCAGCATCTTCCATGAACTCCCCTTCTCCCTTGTGCCTTTCTTTCTTTCCTTCTATCTTTCCACTTTCTCTTCCCTTCTTCTATAAGTTATTTTGAAAAATGATTGCATTGGTACATGTGTGAGCGCAGGGTGTCTACGCTGCTCGTGTGCAGCAGGTGCGTGTACAGCACACTTATTAGCTTCTTTTTTCATCCATCCATCCGTCTGTCTCTTGACCCTCTTCCCCCTTGAGAAAGATCTGTGTCCCTACTTCCTATCATCTATATTTTATTTTGCTCTTTATTTATACATTTGGATTTTTGTGTAAGAGGAACCATGTGATATTTAAGCCTATGTGTCTTATTTATTTCACTTAACACTGTGGTTTTGAGGTGCAACCATTTCCACACAAGCGACCCCTGTTTTCCTTTCTGTATGGCAGAGTAGCACTCCGCTCTATGAAAGTACCACATTTGCTTTACCATTCGTGGTTGGTGGTTTCATAGGCCTCTTCCACGATTTAGCAATTGTGAGCTGAGCTGTCATCGACATGGGTATGCGTGTCTGACTGCCGTCCATGTCTTAAGCTCTTTCAGGAAGACACCTAGAAGGGGAAGAGCTAGGTCAAGTAGAATTTGTAGTTTCAGTTTTTGAGGACCTGCTGCGCTGCTTGCCGTGGTGGGTGCACTAGTCTGCACTTCCATCAGCAATGTAAAGATGTCCCTTTCTCCGGATGCTTTGCCGGCGTTTGTTATCACTTGATTTCTTGATGTATCCATTCTTTCTGGAGTAATGTGGTACCTCCGTGTTGTTTGAATTTGCATTTCTGTCGCGGCCAGCGATGTTGAGCATTTATTTCTTCATGGCTTTATTGGCCATTTGCACTTTTTTTTCTGTGCAGGTTTCTGTTCATTTCCCTTGC